ATAAGTTTGCCATGCATTTTCTTTTTTAAAATAGTTAGAAAGACCTGAGACGCCTTTGATGATGGAAACAGCGAGTGCCGAATGCGAAGGCGAACTGAACGTATTCTGAATTGAGCTACTATGTAGTACCGCATAATAGTTTGAGTTGAAGGGCGGGTGTCTTGTGCTGAGAGGAGTCGAGGTTGCTCCTTTGGTGGGTCACTTCGTAAATTATGATATTTGTGGTCTCCTGGGGCAATGGAGGAAGAGTGCTGAAGTTCTTGGGAGTGTCATCTTAGTTCTGTCAGGATTAGTTGACCTTGAGTTGACCCGAAGATGATGAGAGGGTAAAAAAAGCCAGGAAAAGAATCTTCGTCCGCATGAACACACCAAGCAAGTTAATTTCAGGTAGAATAATAAACTTTGTCACTGTCAGATTGGAGGCAGTGCGCTGATGTAGCAGACTCAACACACGGTTAGTACCCCAGTAAATTTTGTGTAAAGAACACTTGTAAAGAACACTTATAGGATTATACGCGATTATTCTGTGCTGTTATTCTAGCAAGACAGTGCACGATGGGATTGTAAAACGCTCGAAATTTAACTGGTACATTATAATTGTGACCGTGGGACATTACAAAGCACTATAGTATATGACTTTCCGACATTTCTGGTTACAAAATGCTGTTTGCTCGCCCTTTGTTATGCTGGACTACTTATTCATACATTTACAAGTGTTACCTCAATATAATCATCCCCACGAGTGGATGCCTCAGATGTGGGCTCCACTATGCAGTGGGTTAAGATTCATTTTGAAATAGAAGGAGATTACGTGGATGTCTAGGGCCCCAGTGCAGGATTACTGAAGTCTGACAAAGACATCTTGAATTACTAAAGGATAATGGTAAATCTACTGCATAGTGTTTTTCCACAGTGGCATCCAGTTCGGTGTAAAAATGCGAGTCATTCACACTCTCTTAAACATCACTTCGGCAGTCCTACTAGCGGTCAGAAGGCCGGAAAACCAGAAGTTATCTGGACGAGGGCCATCATTGGGAAACTTCACATCGTAGTTGAGTAAGATATAAACGAGCATTGCCTTCAGCTCGTTGACCGCAAAGAAACGTCCTGGGCTGTCAAGGTAAGGAAAACTTTTCAGGCCACAATGCTCTTTTTTAAACCAGGGAAATTACGAACCAGGTGTGCCTGCCCATGCCGAAAGTGTAGTAGTTTGGTGCCATGGAGACAAATTGGTGTTTTAATCCCTCTCCTTCATGAGGCATATTTGAAAACCTGAAGCCCTGGAACTCATGTGCTCTGTCATAGTTTTTCTGCGATTCTACGTCAGTCGTTTGCATTGACGAAGACGAAGCTTTCGCGCACTGACGTCGTCAAGATGAGTCTCATAGGAAGCGATTGCTACCTCTGTACCTGCTGGCAGTGTTATTCCATTGGAAAATGTAAAGTTCTGGAGGATTTTGCGATTCATGGCCTCTAGAGATCAGAATCAGGCCACCGTTACAAGTGACAATGACTCATCCTTACGAGCTCCGACTGCAGATCTTTGGGATTCCATGATAAAGCTTTCGAGCTTGCGCATCTTTTGCATTGAAAGCTTGGTCCAGCCCTCTGCTTCGATGACGGATTCCACCTCCTCCCGCAAGGGTGCTACGTACTCTGGATAAGCTGCTAGATTGAATAATGTGTGCGTCAATGCCTGAAAATAGTTTCTTAGACGTCAGAAATTGGTAATAAAGAACAACTTGGCTGACGTTCGTCGTAGTATGGATGGCGGCGACATTGACGCTTAATACGCGGATGGCTATTTCTTCAATTTGTGAAGATGAGGACCTTTCGCTTCGTCAAATAGCCAGCTGATAAGATCGTTCTTGGGTGTTTAGTGAGAACAACAGCGATACATTACTAAATAATCCTTTCTTACCGGTTTATCAGGCCAATCTTTTCCGTGCCTTTCCCTCTGTTTAAGTTGTTCCTCTACTAACGGACGAATGTGGTGCACCGCTCGCTTGATCCTTCCAGGAACCTTGGTGAGAACAGGACCGACTAGACTAGACGGTACATTAATTTGTTTCCGACGGACCAGTTGGCCAAGATTTACTACTTACGGTTTGAGGAACTCTGGAAACAAATTTATAATTTGTGCGCCAATAAAGACATCGATAGTGAATTGTTCGTTAATTCTTGGAAGCAGGATCTCTGCCTGGAAGGATAAGATAGGATCAGCCTAGGATTGCAGTCGAATAAAAATAGTCAAGCAGACATAACGGCAAGCCAACGAAGACACGATTGGTCGTCCTGCAGACTATTTTCATGATAGTATTGAAAGCCGGAACTGTTATCCACTCTGACAAGGGTTAACATACAGGATCAAGGGATAAAATGCATTATGTACCGTCTTTGACTGGGATAACATCCTTAAAGGATGCGATAATCTCATCTTTGACATCTGGAAACCGAACTCGAGGTTTCGAGTCAAAGTGGTACGAATGGTGGAAATGTGATAAATATCCTGCTGGACCTGTTTTCCAAGGGTATAATCAGCCTGGAGGGTCTGATGGGAAACAAACAATTAGGCGAGAATTTCTAATAATCAAGCCAGACGCTTTGCCTCGCGGACAGCTTCCTCAAATGAACCTGACTCTCATTGGCACGGCGAATGTCTTCAACCATTTCGTGTCCGCTAACGATCACAAGCCATTTTGAGAGTGTCGAGACCTTGAAGGCTGAGCCATAATACTAATACCAACGTCAGTGTGAAGGCGTGTCCTGCGTGGCATCAATGGTTTTGATAGTACACACTTTACTGTATCCTTCTTGGATCATTTCATGTCCATGCAGAAAGAACCGTATAGCATCGATGTATGGCCAAAGACCAGAAGACCCTACCGTTGGAATGTGTTGAAAGCTATTTAGACAGATAATTATGAGCTTCTGAATCACTTTTTCTGCCGGAGCACCACACTGGGAACCAACCTTTCGTCCAGCTGAGTTGCGATGCTTAGATATTAAATAGGCGGCCAACAGCAATATTAAGGTTGGAAGCGTCGTTGACCAGTCGATCTGCATGTCGTACGAGAAGTAAATTTAAGTCGGATGCGTGGGATACATTGAGCAGAACAAAAGAAACCGTTAAATATGTACCACTGCAAAGTGAGTGGGAACCACAAGCAGGCTGGTCTTCTGACCGTTCGGTAGCACCGTGAGTTCCGTATCTCTGCTATATTTGGCGAGTGAGTTTGACAGTCCATCCTCTTGACAGAATTATAAAATGTATTCGAACGGGCATGCTGGTCATATACAACCTGCGTGCGTATATATACACAAAGAAAGAGACGGTAAGCTCGATTCTTAAACGGTATGATTAATGTGTACGAAACCTTCCGATGACTGTAGGACCAGCCCAATCAAACACAAGACGCCCCATCTACACATCTCTCCCTTCAAACCCACTCTCAAGTAATGCCTTTCCCTCCCTAACACACCTCTCAACCAGCAAATTAAATTGATCCTCGCGCTGAGCATGTATACCATGACCTGTCTCCTCCCACTGCTGTAATTCCACCCTCCGAGAGTTTGACTCCGCGTCACTCTTACTTAGGCCATTTTTCATAGCCTCGTAGATCCGCACGGAGCATGAAGGGCGGACAAGATGATCATCATCGCCTGTGACGAGAATGACTTTAGGGACATTTGCGGCGATGTAGGCTAGTCTTTCTGGGGAAACGTAGTGTGTAAGTGCGGCAGCCATTTGGGAGATGTGGCCCATGAAGAGTTGGGGTTTAGTGATGGTGACGCGGCGCAGGAAGCCCTATAGAAATAGTAAAAAAATCATCAACTCAGTACATGAAATACAGCTGAAAGTTTTATCAAATACCTCAGCTTGAACGTCTGAATTTGTTTTCCCTTGCTTATTATCCTCCGTATTTCCGTTCCATTCTGCATGTGGGTCGCTTTTAGCTTTCTCATCTAGCCAAACTTTTGGGAATAGCATATCAAGCACAGTTGGTACTTTATTTTCCGGAGCAGGTGTGAATGTGAGTTTTGTCAGGCACTGGAGGCCCTTCAACTGTAGGTTATGTTATTATCAGTGAAAAAGTGATGATCAAAATAATAAAACACACCGGAGGGAAATTGTTCCATATATGTCCGCCAGGAGTCGTAACGGCCAGCAGCAGAGAAGATATCCGGTGTGGTATGCGATACGCCAGTTCTAGAATGATGCGGTCGTTCAGACCTAGGATAAGAAAACATCTGGAATAACTCACCCTGGGCTATCATGCCACCTAGACTGATGCCCACTACGTTTAATTGGCGTTTTTCGGTCCAGCCGAGATAGTCAAGTAGGCATATCACATCCTCTGCCATACCTGAAGTTCTAGAACCCAAATGTGCATAGGGCGTCAGTATATCGTGTGCACTCATTTGCCGTTCATTAGGCCGATTTCGGCCATTGAACAACCAACCCGCCTCTGCGAAGTAAGAAACAGAACGTAAACTCACGTATATGGGCCTCTAGGATAACCTGAATTGCCAACCCCACGATTATCAAACACCAGCGCCGTACACGTCCCCTTGCCGCTTTCCCCACCTTTTAACCCAAACCACCGAACCTGCGGGCCCCAGGAAAAGCTGCTCGAGTTCAAACCCATAATAAAAACGACTTTGTCCAGCTTTTCGATAGCCTCTTCGTTGCCTTTGAGAGCCGGTGGTCCATGTTGCTCGTAATAAAGTGAATGACTTTCGAGAATTTCTGGTCCTTCATTGAGAAGGGAAGAAACAGGGCAGAGACCGCGCTTGAAGCAAGTCTTTTCAGGAAACGCTGTAGGAAGAGACGCGAGAGGAGGCGTTGAAGGAGATTTGGGTACGCTGGATGTCATCGTCGTTGGTGCTTGAGTGCAAGGTACATGATGACGGCGGTTTTCACATGCGTTGAGGTTTAATTAAATTTAGATTTGACGATCCTTTAATCTGATGTACTGTTAAATACCACTTGTTGGCATGGCAATATGGCCGAGTGGTCTAAGGCGCCAGAATCAGGCATTCGATGTTCAGTCGGGAGCAATCTGGTCCGAAAGGGCGAGGGTTCGAATCCCTCTGTTGTCATGTAGTTTTGTCTTCCGGAATGGAACTTTTTCATCCACTGTTGGTTTCATGAACTTGGTGACACTAACCAAAAAATAATATCTGTAAATTTTTAAAAGTACTGCTTTACGGAGAATCGATAACTGCGAGGGAGATGTGGTATTAAAGGGTTGCTATAAATACATCTGACGACATGGTATCACACTGAATTAGCCATCCTAGATGTCAACCACCAACGCTGCGCATGCCCCAGAAGATCCTGAAGAGCCGCATATCAGACTTTCCACCCCTGCAGACTTCGATGAACTTGCCGATGTGGCACTCAGAGCTTTCATCGAGGATCCTGTTATGAATTACTTTGGCAGTGTCAAGAAAGTACGCTAGGCAATCTTAATGGTTCACGGAAAGCGAAGCCTCTGACTGTCTCGCCCTTGAGTAGATGTTGGAAATTGATGTAGATGTGAAGGCCTCCGCGGCTAGACGACAATTTTATGTTTTCTTATTGAAAGCATGCTTCTTCATTGGGGGCCGCATTACGATTCTTGTGGACCGACCTGCAGGTTCGACGAAGGAAAGGCTTCTGGCTGGTGCTTTATGGTTACCGCCCCACAAAAGATTGGCTGCGTGGATGATACCGACTATGGTGAAGTCCGGGGTGATATCTGTGCTCAAAGGATGGGGATTGACGGGATTCGTGGTGAGCACGTTCTTTGTGGTCATGCAGATACCAAGTAACATTGCTACGCCAGAGGATAGTTTTCCACTACCAAGAATCTGTTGAGCATACAATGCACAAAATCTTCGAATCCAAAGGAGCAAAGACGTCTCCAGATAACTCGTGGTACCTCCAACTAGCATTCACTGATCCTCCGCATCATGGGAAAGGTACGTAGAAAATCCTTCATGATGACTCTTATTCCTACGGGTGGACGTCCAGGCTTTATGTCCCTCCTTGTTCGTGAAGCATTCGCGCATTCACCCAAGGATACATACACACTTGAAGCTACGACAGCAAAATCTCGAGATCAGTATGCACACTTAGGATTTGAGGTCAGCACATAGGAGTTTGCTTGTGTCTTGAGACAGCCTTATTTTCCTGCAATAGAACGCCACTACTATACCACTTGGAAAAGGAAAGGTCGACAATCGAGGAGTTTCAGTGTCGGGTAATATGGCCACGGGGATCGAATGCTGGGCAATGGTGAAGGTTTGTAGTCATTTTGGGTGTATGCCGCGTTGAGAAGTCCTGATTTTTTGATTATTCAGTGGCCACCGAAAGAAGAAAATTGACGCGGACACTACATATTTTTGAAGACAGTATGTATTCTAGAAACCGATTCAGTTCTATCACGTCTCCAAGAAGTGGCGGAGTTAGCATGGGCAATAAAATTCAATGTTATACTGTGCGCGCAGCTTTCGTAGGCATCTGAAATCTGCAGGCTATACAAGGAGGGTGGAATTGTAAATTTGTCCTTACCTTCTTTCGATTGTGGTGGACCATGAATTGGTTTCCGATGCACCGCTTCAATTGGCTAAGGCAAGAGAGCCATGGTTGGTTTGTGACTGTATGTAGTCGATAAATAAGATGAGTTTCAAAGTTGAAAGCGTTCTCGAAGATGAACGATTTGACGAAGAAAGCGGCGTGACGGAAGGTATGCCCTATGTGCGGTGACAACGCGTGACACAACCTCCTTTATGTTTTCCTTGACTCGCTGCCGTTTCTCATCCTCTCTTCGTCCAAACCAAGGTCTCGCGGCACCATGGAGGACGCTGCACACGAACACAAGGCCATTGGCTCAAAGATGCTCCCTGAGAAACTGTGGCAGCGTGGACAAGTCAACTCTAAGCAGAAGCATCCAAAGGCGCAATTATGCCCAGTTTTCTGAACGAAACTCTGTTGGAGTAAGGCATACTGACGTATCGAGGAGCACTATTTTTGCTGACCATTGTAATGCAGGCATTTACGCCCACTGCTGCTGCGATATTTATAATAACAGGAGTCGCCCTGGCCTTCTACTTCCGTCACGAGAAAGTAAGGCTGGAAGAGGAGCGGGGTAAGTACTACATTTAGTGCATTCCAAGAACACACTGACAAGAACAACAGAAAAGGAACGCGCGCAGAAGTCCTATGGTAGACCGAGTGTAGGAGGCCCCTTCAAACTGACTAGTCACGAAGGGAAACCATTCACGGAGAAAGATCTTCTCGGTAAATGGTCTTTGGTGTACTTTGGTTTCACCAACTGCCCAGACATCTGCCCTGCAGAACTCGACAAGGTCACAGCAGTTCTAAACAAATTACGTGCGGGATAACTCTACTTTGTTCGTCTAATCTATACGCTGAGCAGGATTGATTATAGAACCTGCGCATGGTGACGTCTTTCTCCCTGTTTTCATTTCGGTGGACCCAGCTCGCGACCCTCCAGCTCAAATGGCCCAGTACCTGAAAGACTTTCACCCATCCTTTGTTGGCCTCGTCGGAGAATACGCCGACACCAAAGCTGTTTGCAAAGCCTACCGCGTCTACTTCTCCACACCTCCAGACGCTGATCCTAAAGGCGACTACCTCGTGGACCACTCCATCTTCGTATACCTTATGGACCCCAACGGGAAATTTGTGGATGCCTTCGGGCAGTCTGTTTCTGCAGATGAAGTCGTCATTAAAATTAACGAGGCTGTGGAGAATTGGGAAAAGGAAACAGGGAAGAAAGTCTGATACCCATGTTCCACGATTTTGGTGAGAAGTCGTAGATTTTTTGTATAAAAGTACTTAATGATGTCACGTTCATGTATAATCCCCACTCGCAATGCAAGCAAGATATTGAAGGTAATGCCATTTGCGCATCAATTATGTCTGGAAATTCAAAGCAATAAATCGTTGTAATATGCGCCCGGGGCCATCCTCCCCCCTGGACACTGCTTCCAAGTTGCTGACTTGATCAGTAGCTCTCAGTATTTGCAAATCAACAGCACCATCCAAATCGCCTGCCGCTCTCAAGCTCCTCACACCAGCAGCCAGTATCCTCCTCTTGGCAGCGTCATCCAGCTTTTTTTCATACAATCCCACACCGTTCACCCATGAGATAGGAGTGTGCGCTGTTTAACTGAATTAGATGATCTCCAGGTGGTTTCTGGGCACTCCGCATAAGCCTGAAACATATTTTTCGCAAAGAGTTGGATTCGATCCTTGGTGAGGACGGACGTCGTTGAATTCAGCATATGGACGTGTAAATGTGCAACTATTGTTGGGATAAAAAAGTGGAAGTGAGTGATTCAGTGTAAGACAGAGCTAAAAGATAAACTTACAAAAATTGCCCAGCTCACTTGCAGCATTCGTGGGACCAAAATACTCCCAGTCTACTAATCCGCATCTCGCAGATCTTAAACTCCGTGTATCCTTTGCGTCGTCATCCGTGATGTCAAGGTCAACTAACACATTTTCCGGCCAGAAATCTACCATGCCGAAACATACGTCCTTACCGGCCAGCTTTGCGTTCTCCTTCAATCCCGTCCTCACCCTGTCCGCCAAGAAGCGCGCTTCTGCACCCGACACGCCAGCTTGAGGTCGCTTGAGGTTCTCAAGCACCATATTTGCCAGGTAGTCGTGAAAAGCATCTGGGTTTGACGAAGATGTCAAGGAAGCTACGAGGCGCGTTGGTGGATTGCTCGTTGTAGCGTGTAGTCGTGCTAGGAAGGTACCTAGGTCGGGTGCGATTTCCTTCAGGGGGCTTCTTACGTTGTTTTCCGAGTCCCGTTCCCAAGAAGTCGAATCGTCCAATAATATCTCAGAAAAGGACCTCATATTTCCCAGATCTTCGATCCACAAAACGTTCTGGTAACTGTCGTGCCACATCAATCGGGGTATGAGTAGCCTCAGCTCTGTCTGCTCCCCTCCGAAATCCAATCCTTTTCCCTGTTTCTTGTTATTGGCCTCAAACAGCCCAGTCAAAATCCAGCCCAAAAGCTGACACCGACTCTGCTGAGGGTGTTTTTTCACTGGGCCCAGCATCCAAAATCTGTAAAGCCGTTTTCTCAACGAGCTGCCTATCGATTGACATTGCCTGACTGGGATCAGCCGCAATGTAAGGTGGCGCATGTTTTAATATTTTTTGCGCTTTTCTGGTTTAAATTTTCAGCACCGACTTTTGCGATACTCTCCGGAAAAGTTGCGAGGATTCTAGGAAGGACACCTCTCAAAGGACTTGAAAACGTTATACGTGCTGTGTGGTTCGTGAGGCCTCCTGTCAGCACCTGCACGGCAAAGGTCGGCTTTACAAGAGTTGTATTTGTCCTGTCAAAGGTGGCCTGCACGTAAGAAGTGAAATCGAATGATGTCAGGGAATATAGTTGTTGCTGAGGGAAGCCCAGCTTCCCCTCTGCGTGCTAAACAAATAGCTCCCAATTGAGTCATCAGAAACATGAGTCCAACAAAGGCTCCGAAGCACATGGTATAGTGTTGTAGGGGTGCTAGAGCAAGGCGTCCGACCTCAATTCACGGTTTCGCGGTAAGCGTTAATTGAGTTGGGTTACACCATTGTATTTGAAGCTGAAGGCCACAAAGCGACGCGGGCGTGGTTTTCAGTTGCTTGTACATCAGAGTGAAAGGTACAAATAGATGTCAGCACCAGGCGGCTTGAGGCCATCCAAAAAACTACAAGAAGAGAAATAAATAAAATGAGCATGACATACGGGAATGCAAGCAAGCCATTAAACTTGGAAGTACATCGTGATAGCCGGAGCTATACGCGAAAACAAAATGACTGACCACGGGCAGATTGGAACAGTCCAAGCCGCCTGACTTTTCGGCTTTCCAGATGGTCCACAATTATAACGACTGTCCAAAACATTCTAGAAGATGCCAACATTGCGGACTTTCGTGACAATATCGGATGCGTGCGCATCATCAGGTGTGCAGGGATGATGGAGTGCACTCAGTAGCAAGTTGGCCTGGTACGCGATGACAGCCAACGAAGCGGGTGCTAGGACCAGCAGCTCCTTCAATAGCGGGACTAACAACGCTTTAG